AAGAAAATTCGCACCGATACGTATTATATACGCTTATACATAGCCACATGGGTATACCTACTTTGACGTCATCAGTATTATAATATATAATACGTAGATTACCTGCGGGATGCTCCTTACAATGTAAATAGAGAGCTCACGAACTGTAAATACCTTATCGTAAAATTATCATCAATCATGTGTTCGGATAAAAAAAAATCCACTGGAGTCGTGATCCGTATTAACGATTATCCTCCAAGACGACATTATATTTTATGTATATACATACACACGTGTATCTAATTCCGTAGTCTTATTATTCGTGTCCTTTTTTGAAAACTACCGCTACTTATACGTGTAACGTGCAATAAAACCTTCAACGGAAAATATTTGTCGATTTACATATATTATTATAATATGTTTATTTTTGAAAACAAAATTATGGTGTCACCGGGGGCAGTGGTCGAATCTCGGTATGCCACTGCGGCAGGATTGTATAAAATATAAATAACGGCGACATTATAATATTCTTCTATTATTACTATATTATTATGTAGTACCTGCAGCTATACCTACCATATATATATATATTACTATAAGTACCGACTACACACACCGGGATATACCGACACGTAATATTTCTACTGATAAATTAAAGGACATGATATCATTGTGCATATGAAAAAATAAAAATAAAAGTCGACAGCTTTATACTACGCGTTTCGAATTTGAAAATCCAGTCATATACGCATAACATCGTTATCAATATTCTTGAACAATACGTGTACGACGTATCAATCGAGTTCCGTCGTAAATTACCAGTACCCATACACCATACCCATACGTACACTGCACCGCGCAGGCTATCGTACGTCATTTACCATTATATACATACAGTATGTATATAAATATATATATATATATTAAATAATATATAATAATAAAATATGTCTGTGCACCATGCACGGTCTTCGGGTAAGTATATTTGTGCGTGTGTGTGTGTGTTTCTCTCTATACTATCCACCTGCACATCGCGCGCACCGTCTCTCCGATTTCGTCCAACGGACAATATAGTATAAATACGTGATGCACTTGGTAATGATCAAATACACGCATACTGTACAAATGTGTGTGCCTGTAATGTAACGTAATCTCAACCCTCTGTGCGTCGGTCGTCGTCGTCGTCGTATTTGTCCAAGTTTATACGTGTATATAGTATACACGACGCGCATCGTATACGATATGTACGATGCGACCCGGTGTGTATACCGCGGAGGGACGGTATAAAATCCGACAACGTAGGTACCTATCTATGTATAGGTATTATAATATGCAGCTGTATACAATGCCCTATCTATTAGGGGGCCATCAATCTTCGTTAAGTGCGTTTCTTGTGCGCGTGTACCTACACAATAATATATATACACAGCGTACTCGCATTGTATATTATTATATACAAAGGTACCACATCGGATTCGTCGGATTCACACGAGCTCGAGGAAATATTGTTTTTTTAACCAACATGATATTATTATTATTATTATTATTATTACACCATACGAGAACAGTGACAGTGAAAGGCTCGACGAAATACCGAGCTGCGCCGGTGCTGTACACAGGTACGTATATTATGCGCAGGTACCTACAAGTAAATAGCTGCAACAGGTACACGATATCGTCGAATAAACGTGTCGCATAATATTATATTATTTCATTCCGTGGTGTGTATTGTACCTATTATTGTGACCGCTCGATGTGGTTGATAATTGTTTATAATTCATTCCATTTCGCTCGATTTGTATAAACGACCATAATAATATGTGTCCACTATACCATTATTATACCTATATATGATGCGACTGATATGACAAATACCGCGCGTGCATAAAATATAGTTAGACGTGCGTGTGTAAAAAGGGTGCAAGTGTTTTTATTACGGCGACGACCGCTCACGAGACGAAACATCCACTTCAAACGCCTACGTATCGTACAATGTTTTATGACCGTTCGCTCGAAATACACTTCTTTTTACTTTAGAACGATATTAAATTAGTTTTTTTTTTTTTTTAAATACTCTGTTGAACACAGTGAGAAAAGATGGAGGAATACTTGTAACAAAAAAAAATCCCAACCTATATTGACGAAACGCCAAAAGCGTATATTTTATAATAGTATATATTACGTAACACCGTCTTTTAAATGCGTTGGCTATAAATCTCGCTACGACTCAAACCACTGTGCGCCGCATAATATATACTCGAATTCGATAAAATAATAATAATAATAAAAAAATGTTATTTTTTAGTATATGTGTATAATATATTATACCATATGGGTTATAAATTTGTAATTATTCCGATCGTGTTGAAAAAAAAAATTAAAAAATATATGGGTACATCCCGCACGTTTGATGAATGTGCAATTACTGATGACACATTATGCTCGACTCGCGACTCGAGGAGGACCGTTAAATGTTTATATTCAATGTATAGGTGTGTTTATGTAATATAATAATATATGCGTGTCGGTGTGCGCTCTTTGATTTTTATACCACGGTATAAAATAATAATGTACCCTATGGATACTATAATAATGTGAGCAGTCGTGCGGTGGTTTGCAATAATTTTACTAGCAAATAAAACACGGGCCTTCCGCGAGGAGACATATCGTGTCATTGATAACCAACGTTATTTTTTTCTTGAAATATATACACACACGATAACATATTATACATAATATTATAAAGGTACTTTAATAATATGTAAGGTGGCGGCGGTTCACCTCGGCACAAAAGCGGTGAAAAAAAACCCATTAAAAATACGAAAACACCCACCAGATCCCTGTGGGCGGTTTTGATATTACACTGCAGTGTACTAATCATAATATATATAAATGTGTGTGTGTGTGTGTATATAGGCGATTAGACCAAAAGAGTAGCGCGGTCATTTCATATTTCCTAAATTACATTGTCCGATTTCAATGTCAAAAACATGAGGCCCCCGGTCGGGTTAACATCTTTTCAAGCGCCGCCCACACGCTGATTTTTATCAGACCACTGCGCAGGATACCTATTTCACTTTTTATTTTTATTTCCCATTGTTTACGCGCACGTCATATTATTATATTATATTGTATCTTGATTTTACGATAGTGCGCATTAAGACGTTAAGTATTGCAAACCATATCCCTACCGCTCATCATATTATTATACTCACCGACAAGATTGACAAATATCATTGTTTACAAAAATCGTAGGTACACTGTACAAAAGTAGTTATGATTAACTTTACCAAAGTAAACGTACTTGTGATTTGTCATAAGTTATTTATTATTACACTATTTAAAATAGCGATTATATTTTAACTGTAAAATCGTTTTCAAACGGCGCATTGTATAAAATAGAAATAAATATAACATGCGGTGGGACGCCGTGTTTACGAGTCATACTCTCCTACTGCATGGTTCCACGAGTACCTAAGGGCTACTGTACCACAAAAAAAGAAAATAGGTACATACGGCAGCCTAGGAGAAACGAGTGTCAGTAGTGGTCTGCGATAAGAAACTGAAACAGAGCCGTTTTTGGTTACTGCACAGGATCGTTTGAAATTGAACCCCCAAGTCGTTGATAAACTTGTTTCATTATATACTTAATCATAATTTATGTCTCGACGCCGCTCGGTGTGGGTGTACCTATATCAAACGTTTCTTCGGGACGTTACCGTATAAAGTCGGTAATGACAACCCAACTGAAAATGGTATCCCGCTGCTGTAATAAGTGTCACAATGTTCTTATAATAGCAATAAACATTATATTCTGCAAAAGATTTACCACCTTGAAAATAATAATTAAAACTTAATACCCAACTTCTCAAATTCAATAAAAACGACCAAATAATGCCATAATTACTTCTCAGTTTAAAAACACATTCCCCCTCTACATCAAAATATATACAGATGTATCTAAATCTGAACACGAGGTAGGTCTTACACTAATTTATTAAAGATGACAAAATCTTTCAATACAAGGTTCCAAAAATAACCAACATGTCTTCTGCCAAAAATGTTGCTATCTAGAAGGGGTAAAAGTTTAGAACTTTCTAATCCTCTAGAATCAAACTGATAATAAATGACTCCTTGAGTATCTTATTAGCACCTGGAAACCTTTTCTCTAAAAATTAAACAACCCTAAATATTCAAGCAAAGTTAATTTGAATAAATAAAACATCGAATTCTTGTGGGAACCATCCTACATCGGTATCGCAGGAAACGAAAATGCATACAAATAAATGCCGATCATATAACGAAAACTATTCAAAATCTTACCATTAAATAATATACCCACTTAAAACATTCAAAACTATTAATAAAAAAAATCCTCTCATTTTGGCCGAATCACTGGAATCTAATACCAACATCCAACTAGTTAAAAAATATTTAAAAAACAATCAAAAAATGGTACAACTCTTACCAATATTTCAACCGACGACAAGACATTGCAATTACCCGCATCAGAACCGGACACTTCTTCTTCACATATTTGTATTTAATTAGTAAAGAGCTTCAGCCAATATGTGACAAATGCCACAAAACATTAACCATCTAACACATTGTAAAGACATTTTCACAACATACTTCTAGCCTTAATTTGAATATAAAAAAAAAAAGTTTATGATACACAGACCAGGTATATAGTAATTTCGAGTGTCCGTTAATTATCACTTATCATCTAAGGGTTCAACTCGATCTGCGTGTTTCTCTTTTTGTGTTCAAATTTGATAATAATATTATATATAATATTATCTTAACAATAATGCACATTATGCGACGAGTATTGCCACTATTGCGTAGAAAATCTCTATCACTCTTGTACGATATTATATATTAAATCATAAATCATAATAATGTTAATGTAATTCTATAAAAAATACATGTGATTTAGACCATTGAAACTCGCTAGTTTCGATTCGTGTGCTTGTCGGTACATCAAGGATATATTCGATGACTATAGAGTATAGACTCACTTGAAAACTCTGCTCGGTCGAAAACGTACACGAACTATTCCAGCTGGCCGAACTGTTTCGAGATGATACCTCTTGCACCACCCGCAGCCGGGCCACGTGATCGTTCATTTTGCTATTCGGTTTTGCCGATATCTGAAAACATGTCCAAAACGAAGAAAATTATTAATACATTCATCGCGTGCGTGGACTAACATTTTTACGATTTTTCAAACACGTAATATTCGTTTGACTAATCCAACGTATATTAATATATATACATACACAAACACACAAGTACACAACATAATATGTTTAAAACAAATACTACGCGTACATGGATCGTACCTATATATGTGTTACGTGCTCTTTTCCATTACACTATGTAAACCTATAATATGTAAATGTAGTTTAGTGTTATGTACAGGTATAAAGGGGTCAACATCTCACAATTATAGATAAATAAAATAATGAGGCGAGCAATAAAAATTTGGATTAGTCTACTAAAAACCAGTTTCTCCGGCGGATAACGCTATAAAAAAAATAATACATACATAATACCTGTACGTTACACTTATATATATTCAAACGGAAATACGTAATATAATATATGATAAGTTCATTGCAAGTATATATAGTATTGTTTTTGATGTAGAAAACCACTAGGTGGACCTGGCTGGTGATGCATTTTACCATATAAAATAAAAATAAGCTATTTGATCTGTTTAGTTATTATATTATTATATACGCTCTTCTCGTTTAACAGCCCAATTGACTGTGTCATATTTATTTGTGAATTATTTTTCATACGGGTATACAACTTTCGAGTGTTTTTTTTTTTAAACCCGTTATTCGGCAAACTAGCGGTACACCAGGCAATAAACCCCAAAACGTATAATATTATAATAGAGCATTAGAGCCTATAAAAAAGTGGACAATCATGTGTTTCCCGGTCATCTGCTTCTGACGACATTATAAAAACATACAAGCCAATAAATATGATATTGTTTGGTTAGGTGAAAACATAATACATATAATTAACATGAGTGTGACCGCGAGATTCGCATACATTAATATTATGCAAAAATTGTCACACGATATGATTTTTTAATACCTAGTTTTTATAATTTTTTAGACTACGGCGATATAATTTGATATTTTTAATTTATGTTATATTTTATTAACACGGCCTGTCGCCATTGCATCTGATCATCCCGTTTTGTTCAAATATAGGGTGTCCCATAAAGTGCGCATGTATTACATTTCAAAAAACCACGAAACATAGACCTATAGCCACCTAGATGAGTATTATATATTATATATAATATAATATGATTTACTCCGATACTCATATCATATATACAATCTTTAACACAAAAAATATATTTTTAAAATAATCTTTCATATATATCGACTTTAATGGGGGTGTATTATTATTATTTTAGTTTTTTTTTTTTTTTAATAATTCGTATGTAATAATATTAGGTATAAAATTTAGCAATAATGTACATTAGTACAACGTATCTATACTTCCAGTAAGATATAAATGAGCTTGGTTCGGAGAACATATTTTATTATGTTTAATAAAGATAATATAATTACCGATGTTGCAAGTGTTATGAATAATATATGCAAGATAATTAAAATTATTTTACTTCCTTAACAATTGCACGGGTGAGTTTGATTAACTTGCATTATATTATAAGCTACCTATAACAGATTGGACGGTACCTATATCTATCTATTGGCTATTCTATGTGAAATGTTAACTTAAGGTCTTAAACTCTTAACCCAAAACAAAGAAATCATGTTAAGTTTTAATTGATTTCACTGCCAAGGAATCAAGACGTGTACAATATTAAAATGCAACTGTCCATTAGTAGTCGTTTAGGACGCATAATTTAACTGATTGATGTTTCATGCACTATATGAGTTCTTGAAGCATTGCATTATTAATTTGCGGTAAACGAAAACATCGGGAGCCTTTCGTGCGGAAAGTCATAAATAATTATCAAGAGTTACGTATTATTCTCATGACTGATATTTTAACCTCGATGTGTTCAATATAGTACGAGTCTGTAGTTACGTGTGGTTATTAAATCAGAAATTAAAATGCGGTAACGTAATCGGCGCATTATGAGCACCGCGCTCATGGAGATAAGACACGAATAGTTGTGAATACCTGCCATGCACGGAGGCGACTGTGGTGGCGGGTGTTAAATTAGAAATTATACCAGAGTACCTACCTACCTGTAATATATTATAATATTAAGTATATTGGTACTATAGAATATACATATTATTATATTTAAGTGTTTAACTTGGTATTCAAATTTTAATTTAGTTTATATTATTTAGTCATACTGCAGTATATTATATTGTATATTATAATACACTAAGTAAATCGAATGAAAGTATAGTAATTAAAATGACTTTTAAAAGTGACATTGTTAGAGAAATATCCATTGGTATTACTCAACATATATAATATATTTAAGTATATAGTACTATGTATGTATAATATTATAATAGGTTACTTATTATAACAACAATGTATAATAGTATAATTACAATTTAACAAGGCATATTTTTTTATAGATAGCACCTAGTACTTATAGAATATTTTTATATTAATATTTTATTATACATTTTTACTATTGTAACTTAGTTAAAAGGTCTCCGATCATTGATATATAATAAATACAACTTAAGTGTATTCGTTAAATGATTAAGTATATTACTATTACAGTCGTCATTGATGTATAATTTAATGCAATTTAAAATTAACCTATATATCTGACGGTATGTGAAAAATAGTTATTTGGTCTAGGTACCTGAGATTATATTATTTTTGACACGTTCTCAAATGCGATATATATTATATCTCATCAGTTTAAAATCAGTTTAAAATCAACCTTTTCAAAAACTCAAAATTACTTAAGATAACTATTAACTACAGTAACATACCGCAAAGTGTTAGTGTGTTAGTGTGCTACATTTTATACAAAGCGTATGACTTTTATTCTCTGCACTGCTACGCTATACACTATTGCGCCATTGTCCATTAGTTAATTTGGTTGTAATACTATATTATCGACATGAATGATGTGCCGTTTATCATTTATCATTCAATAATGTCCTTTCTAATGTTCTCAATTCTCACAAGGTCCCTATTTCAATTCAAAACATTACATTACATCCAGTATTTCAATTAAAGATTAGCACTATAATATAATGCCTCCGTTTTTATAATATAATAATTGATTTTACTACTTAGCAATGTATTATTTGTACATTCATTGTACCAATAATAAAATAGTACAATTCTAAATTTAAAATTTTATCATACCAATATTTCTATTTTACATAAAAGTGCTTAATTTTTAAAAATCGAAGAATGTATTAGGTTTCATTGATTATTGTTTATTACTTATTAGAACACGTCAACTGGTTATCAAAAACTTTTTATGTTATACATACAACGAAAACAGTACTTTAATTTGTACATACGATTGATAGAAATGTTTATAATATGTTGTTAACAAAAAGTATCGTATCATCATAATTTTAGAGCGTAAAAATGTAAAATAATATTATGTTCGAAAGTATCTTTCATAAAAAGACTATAAAGGTTTAAAATATTCGAACTATTTTTGAACGGATCACGGTCATCCGATAATGCGATAAGTGATATTAAAAAGTGAAGATCAATTTAACATCATATAAATATTATAAAACTATCACTATTCATTGTGATAAAAGATAAATTTTCAAGATTTCATGTAAAAAGAAACCAATAGTCGTGTATGGATATGAAAAATTCTATTGTAAATTTGCACTGGTTGTTTGGCATCGAAATAACATCGACCGTTTCCAATTTTAATCGTTAGCACTGCAACATATTACACTATTATAGTATTGATGTTTTTCGTTTATAAAATAAGGACAACTACACAGAAACTCAATCTTTTGGATGATAATAATATAATATGTTGCTTTTTCCCCTCTGAACGCGCATCACATCTTGCACACTTTCAACCAAATGCGCATTTAAGATAATATTATATGCCATCACCATCTGTAAATTTGATTACATAATACCACAGTCCGTGTATAGATCGTGTATTCTCTATATATATATTGTGCGTTTGAACGTGTTTCACATGCGTACCTAGTCTGATATACGTAGTATATTATATCGAAATCTTTCGGAGATGCGACCGCGATTTGATTATACGTGGATAATCGTTGGGCGGAGTTGTAAAGATTTTCAGCGTTTCTTCTTATTTTTTTTTTTTTTCAAATTTTATTTTACACCATAATAATACATTGTGCATACGCGTATGTCGAGCCACCGAGGTAATAATATAATATGCTCCTCGCCGGACTCGTCATCGTCGACGTACCTACCTATATTATAATAATGTACATAATGTGTAACGTGCAGAGTGAGTGCACTCGTACTGCAGGGTTCTACATAATACACGCACGACGAATTTGGCGGTACTGAATTATCGAGTTTAACAATCGGGTTTAAGCACGGCGGGGTCGACGACTGTTTGAATTATGGGAGGTTTGAATCAAATTTCGAACGTCTTGTTACATCACTGCAGCTGTAGTGACCGTGTATTAATGGTCTATATATGTATAAATTATTATACACAGAGTAAGAATACATACACAGTGCATTATTATTATTGCGCTGTGCTGTGCTGTTTTCTTCGTTGGTGATTGCAAAACGCTCATGTACCGATATATACCGCATATTCAATACATATATATATATATATATGTACATACATTAATTAATTAATCGCAGAATATAATAATTGTATGACGTAATAAAGCTACGCGTGGTCAAATAGTATATATTATATAGCGACACTCTGCAAAGATTGACGTATGTCCGTCTTCGGAGCGTATGGATCTTGCAATAATATTATTATATATATAATACGACGACCAAAGGTGTCGAACGGTAATAAAATATGATTTATCACGTCTTGACGTTTGCCGTCTGCGTTGTGAATTTTTCGCTCCGGGACACTGTGTACAGGGTGATTATTTTAACGTGAATCGGGCAATAACTTAAGAAATGAATGGACTTTTTTTAATTATTTGTTCCTAAACTACGTTTAAACACAAAATACCTGTTT